ACAGACATTTCGCTCAACTATGCTACTAAGCTACTTTTTCTTCTTCTGGTTTTGCCAAGAAAGTTAAATCACTCTCTTTTTTTTTTTCTCTATACTCTCTCTCTCTTTTACAGTTGTAACCTTCAAATAAGGAAAATTTTAAATCTGAAAATAATGAGATATACGGCCTGTATAAAACTCCCCATCACCATCTCTGGATCACTAATAATGAGGTAGTATGATATATACCCATAATTCATATGTTAATTCTACTCTATTATAGGGTCACATTTCTCGTATAATTCATTGATATGGGAAAGAAAATGGGATTGATATAGTCGAGGTATCAGTATCTATATTTGAAACAACTTTATCATTTACGTTTAAATTTCAACTATTAATTCCTTATCTCGACTATAACATTTAGCTAGAACTATACACTGGGGTAGAGAGGAACTGAAAGAAAAAAAAAGTGTGAAAAACACTTCATGAGAATAAAAAGATGATAGCAACTTTTCATTATTGGCCTTAATTAAGGGTTAATTGATTAATCAATTATGGCTTTGGGCAATATTATCTACAACTAAGTCAATAGCATAGCCAGGTTATTGGTGGTGAGGATAGTTGATTAGTTAAATCAGTCAGAAAACAATATCAATACATGATAATACTCCAGTGTAAACAATCAAGAATTACTCATTCAAGATTAAACTAGATAATCAGAGATGTAAAACAGTTTTAGTCTACAATGAAAGATACTCAAAGGATATGTAAGATTCAGATTTATGGAATGATACAAAAACACGATGACCTCTAAGAGTTAGTGCAGGGGTTCAAAAAATAACAACCACATGCTGTACCCCACTGAATTTATGCTTAACAATCCAAACTCTGAGTACTCTGGATGAATCATACCAGGTGTAATGCTGAAAGGGAGATAGTCAAATACTTCTAATTTATTCCACCTTTCGATGTTAATGAATGGCTTGGTTCCCGAAGTAGGGACATTTTATCAATGTGTTAATCTTATTTTTCCAATTTACATCCATATGTCAAAGTACATTTTAAATCATGAAATCACAATATATGTTCAAAGTATGCGACAAATTATTTTAATTACAAAATAAACCCCAGAAATCTTTCTGATCTACCATAACTGGTTAAAAATATCAGGAAGTAAATAATTTTGCTTGTAAAACAATTCTGAAAGTAAGCTGAAATATAGTGTGGGATGTTCTTCACCTGCCATTTGCTAAAACTCTTCAAAAGGAACTTAATTTACTATGACTCAAAAAGAAATAAACATGGGCCTTTTTTCTTTTAATTTGGTGAAACAAATATAAAATAGATATTATAAGACATCCAATAAGAGAAAGAGCAGATAACTCAATGTTGCAGGAAAAAGAAATTTAGAAATGTATGGGATGAACCTCTGAAAAGATTTGTGTGGTGGCATGAAACTATGTTTTATCCTTCCATAACTAACAAATAATACATTTTTAATCAGGCATATTCTGGTAATTATTTTCTGTATTTTAATGCAGATGTTGTATATGTAGTCATTGTTCTTGTGAACAGGATGTAGGAGGTTGTAAACTTGTGCTAGTTTTCTACCTTAGACAAAGGTTACATGCCACAAAAACTCTTTAGTTAGGTTTGCATTGTTAGTTACATTGTCAATGTTCCTCTGGAAAATTGTCATACCCTAGTTTAAGGATGGTGCACACTTGCACAAGTTAGTATAAGTTAAGGTTTATCTCCCTCCCTTGAATGAATAATGGAAATAAGTATTGATGCAAGAAATCTAAAATTGTGAGACATCACATTATGAACTTGAATTTGTTCTGACTTAATATGACATTGTTCTTGTTTTTGTCTTTCATCTTGTTTATACATACTTTTTCTGCTTAAGCAGCTACAAGTCTGATAATACAGAATATGGACACCAGCCAGTTTATGTGAATCTCCCAGCAATCAGGTGTTTGTTGATACATAACTGTTGGATATCAGTGTACCAAATATCATATATGAGCAAAAAACCACCACAGATGTCATAATGGACAAATATACAATTAAGAATAAAAGTCCCAAAAATATTTAATAGAGGGTAGAATAAAATAATAACCAAGTGCTGAGACAGCCTAAATAAGAAGTAGCCAAAACCATAGTCTGACACTGATCAAGAGAACAGGAGTTTTTCACTCTAATATGCTGTTTCTAGTTGTTCAAGTGCTAATCTGTTTTAACAGTTGTAATCATTCTAACAGTATTTTTCATTATACCATCTTTTGAAATTAAAAAAGCAAATTAACATTTCTTATTTGACGATATAAAAAATCTGTAATATATATAATAATAATTTCATGCATTCTTAAGCTAGAACAATCTGTATGACTATCTATGGTGTTTTGAGTCCATATTACTTCAACATATAGTAAATAAATTAATTTAGGTATGTGAATAATGTTATGACATTTTGTCAAATTCATTATTCAATATTATACAGTGGACCAACTGTTTAATGATTGTATACATATAAATGGTAAAGATTTTTTCTTTTCCATCAGAGGTGAAATTGAAAAAAGATTCTGTGACCTAGAAGCCTAATGCATTCTTTGATCGGCTGTACCCTCTGCTGTGGAATGCGGTTTTGCCTATTCATAACATTATTCACATATCTAAATTAACTTAGGTTACTATATGGTGAAGTAAAACAGACTCAAAATGCCATAGGCATTATATATACACTTCACCATTATAAAAGACCTAAAGATATTTCTTTGATTTGCTGACCAAAGCTGTGCTGACGAGCCCTGAATAGGCAAAACTGTGGTCCACAGCAGAGAGTAAGACCAATCAAAGAATGCATTAAGTATTTATACATTACAGATTCTTCTTTGAATTTCACCTCAGGAGAAAAAGAAATCTTTTAACATATATATATATATACACAATGTGTATGAATCATTGCTATCACATGCCCTTAATTCATCACTTATTTATATGAAGATAGTTCTTCAATTTTGTATATTCACTAAAACACTCACCAGTAGCAAAATCAAAATTCTCAAAAGGTTATGAGTAGTTACACTTATGAACATGTAAATACTTTCTAATTTCAGTGTGTCTTTAACCATTTAAATAATATTTTTTTTTCATCATTAATAGTCTTGTTGCTATACTTGGAAGCAATTCATATGTTAAAATATAAACTTTGTTACTTACTTATGTTTTTAAAAGATAATAATTCCAGTAATAAAGGGACAACAGTTAGAGTAGTAGAATCTATGCTATGTTTCTGGAATAAAACTACTCTGTTTATTTGGAAAAAATACTTTTAATCAGCTCTACAACCCACCAGTTAGACAAAAAAAATGCAATATTTTCATGAACTATTACAAAGAAACATTTTTCACATATAATGTTTATTTGCTATAACATGAAATACATTATGCAAATGACCCATACATATAAATATATTTATATATGCATTTTTATTACTAGTTAGATACACATACAGCACTAACAATATAAATTCATTTTAATTAGTACACACTTAAGGTTACTAAAGTTAAAAACAAGACAAATTAACTTTCTATCCAAATGATATACAAGTTAACACAGAGTAATACGATATTAAGCTCTATTACATACAATACATCAATGAACTATTAAGAAATATAAATATCTTGATTTCTTAGCTACATCAGTATTATTTAAACTGGTGTAGTAACACTTAATATTTTATAATTTCCAAAATTGCATTTAAAACTTTAATTTAAATACATTTAGAGTTGTTAAAATACACTGGATTTCACAGCTTTTCTAGAAAAGTCTAAATAAAATAAGGATGTATGTTAGTACAACTTTATGGAAACATACCACTATAGCCACGAGAATTGTTTATGTACAATAACTGTGTATTATTTGAAACATACCTCTTCAACCGGTAGAAAGGTATCTAACCACTTGTAATACTATTAAACATGTTTTCCTTTTTTTTAGCTGCAAATGGTTATAATAAGGTTGCAAATATTCTCTGAGAACCCTTGAAAATCTAGAATTAGTCTTTGTTCAACTTAATATAATAAATAAGGTTACCTATTCCAATAAGGTAATCAGTAAAATTTAATTTTATATCCAAAGACAAAATCTTTATGAATACTGATAACAAAAACAAACTGTCCAATTTACACCACAACTACAGCTCAGATCCTCACATAAACTACACTATCATAGCTCTTCCTTTACTTTAAACCATACAAATTCTACAGCTCTTTTCCTTGCATAAAACCACACCAATTAGTTCATAATGCTACAGTTATATAAAGTAAAAAACAAAACAAAAACTAACAACATATGGAAGCTCTTCAGGAAGATCCTCTGTCACATAGTCAATAATCCATCATCTTACATTCACTATATCTGCAAAGTTGCCAATAAGCTTGTCACTTTTTCTAACATTAAAATTAGTTACAATATTGTATTGAAAATAACATGCATTTCTTCTTTACACCTGTAATAACAAAAAGCTTAAATTCAACATACAGTTTATAATGTTAAAGAACTGGTTTACATTACTACTTAAAAGAAAAATAATGTTTTCTATGAATACTTATCCAGAGCAAATTCTAATGTAATACTAAAGTAGTTCCTGTTGAATACATACAAACATTTGCACTAATATTTGTTAGGTGCATTCAATATTAAGTGATTTGTAGTACAGAAAACAGAGCTTGAAATTAATGGTCACCAATGGGATGTAAAAACTGGAACAGGTGACTTAAAACTTGCTAATAAACTCATCTGGTGGGTGAGTTGATTTGAAGTGTCTAAAATTTCTATATGTTGGCAACAACGTGCGAGTACGTTCAAGTGCCAGTCGGCTGGTTCACTTTGTATACCCAATATGGAGCTGTTTCGTGTCACTCATGGGCTGCACCTGCACACTCCAAGGACTGGAACAATAACAAGGTGCAATACTTTTGCTTTCTTGTAAGGTTCAAAATTATGAATATAGGTTTTTTTTTACAGAGGTAATTGCCATACTCGAACCCAAAAAATTCAGATGTGGAATTTTTTCTAGTTTCTTTTTTTTTTACTTTTTGTAAGAAGATATGTGACAGTACATGAACTAATAGAGCTGGTAAGCTATAAAAATTAGCTTCAGGCCTTGAGAACCCCTTCCATAATCAATGAACTGTGTAACCTCAGTAATACTTAACTAACTCTTAATTACATACTTAACTTATACTTACATAACACTCATTTTATCAGGTTTAGATTTAATTTGTTTAATGGTAAGTGAAAAGTAATTTAAAAAAGAAAGTGTTATTAAAAAATCATAACTACTTAAATTTTGTATATCCTTGAAATATATAGCTATAAAAAACAGAAAAAAGGTGTCACAATTGTATAATATGAATAGAAATATATCTGTGATAAAACTGTATAATATAAATATAATACTCTAATAAAAAGAAGACTATCATAGAGACATTTAAAAATTAGTTAGAATATATTAAAAAATAAGAGAATAACTATAAAACCTACAACATCTAGAATTCTCTCTATATAAAGCAATTATATTTATAACTGTTGCATTTAGATTACCAGTAGCCAACTTATTACTGGCAAGTAAAAATATAACTTTTACAAATTATGAACATCAGCTTTAATTTATATTTTTGAATTTAAAAAAAAGCATTTTTCCTAGTAAGATGTGCAACTTAATAGGTCTGGCAAAGATGGTATCAACATATACACCTTATCCAAACATTTAGTCACAAGTACTAGCTACAAAAGCAAAGTTCCTTGAAGATACATAATCCATTTCTAAAAACAAAAAATCAAATAACATTCAAAAAACAATGTTTATTTTTTAAAAGCAAAGCAACCAGTATTTACAATCAAATACATTTACTATGGAATGTTGCTGATGATAAAACAGTTATAAAAAAAAAGTAATAACTTGATATTTTTAAATATGTAAATTTTATGTCAGTGTACAAGTAGCATCAAAAACAATTCCATATTAATGAAAATATCAAAAAATTTGAATCCTATAAACTAAGGTATGAGTAATTTCATACCCATATGCATTATTTAATATTGCTACTCTAATAAAACTGGTAACCACACATCAAGAATATAATTCACACTGATCAAGCACTGACATCTCTATTAACATGTGAATAAGCAAAACATATGAAAAAGGTGCAGAATATTTTATTTAGAAAAATATGGACAAAAACTAGCATTTAAAACAAAGGAAGACAATGAGGACACAACCTTTTCAAATAGGGTTTCAGAATAAACACAGTTACTACACAAATTTTTGCCTTCTATACATTTATAAAAATAAAGCTTTAAACTACGGTTTACCTATAAACATCTGTTAGACTAAATTGGACCTTAAGTTAAAAATTAGAAAAAAGTTAAGAAGTAGAAAATGTTCTTGAATAATGAACATTTTGTAAGTTGTGTAAAATTTTAAGTTTCATAAATAATTACTGTATACACTTTTCACACTTGAAGCAATGAAAATATCTTAGCTCACCATGAACTTTTATTATACGTAGGAAGTTAAGTATTCTAAAGAAGTATTATAATAATCTGCTAAAACTTAAAAGACAAATTCAATTTACATATGAATATAGTGATTACTTTGAGCAAACACATGCATACGAGTATTCAACAGAAACCCAATTTATATTGAATATTAACAGTTACAGACATCGTAAGACACTTCCACTGTTATCAGTTTAAGAGAGAGCTTCATAACTATATGAATGATAAGGGCTTTATTTTTGTTCTATATTTAACCCATTGACTGCTGATTCACCTCTGGCAGTTGAATGTGAGAGTACCATATATGGTGTATGGCTTGCAAAACTTCTGCACCCACTTAGAGCAGCCTAAGTCAATGGGTTAACAGTATTAGTTTAGAGGATGGGACAGCCTGGATGGACCAAAAACCCCTTGTTGTCCCTAAACATTATGTTATAAAACCTTGATACTGACACAAAAGCCTTTCATAGAATAATCATAGGAGCTTACCTGATGAAATGTTATTTGAAAAAAAATTGAATGGGGGCTGGATGCCATAAAATAAACTACTTAAATCATGGTATTGATACAAATAGCCTTTCCTAGAGTAATTGAAAGAGCTAATCTGATGAAATAAGATTGATTTAAATAAAACTGAATAAGTGGGTGAATTGTTATTTTTCTGAGTTCAGATGTAGTGTATTCCATAAGAAATACAAATACTGATATGTGGAATAATACATGATTATTATAGCACTATATTAGTTGCAATTTCTATTACCTTAGGAGACATTTTAAATGTTTAGTATGTATACAAGAATAAATGGAAATGATGAGAACACAAGATTGCCCATTAGGAGCACTATTACTTAAAGAAAGCTTTTTTACCTTACTCAGTTTTTTATGTAGTTTATTGATTTATAAATTTTCTAATCATTGTAAGAAAGCTAATAAAGTTCATCTTATAAGGGAAATGGAACATAGGAATATTTCAATTCACATTGTACTTGCTGCTAGTTTGGTTATATTAATGAGCAAGTAGGTTATTTTCTTTTTAACATTCTTCTGTTTTGACCAGTAAAACCTTTCTTTTTAGTTTTATCTACTGGATATGTTCAAGGGCTTCCTCAACTGATGTTCTAAATTTCTTTGCTAAATGTGGATCTTTAAATCACCTATACTGTGCATAAAAAGTACAGCACAGATGCAATATGTGCACCAGCACTGATTGTTTGTTTACCTGCTGAACATGTACAGTAATAGTTTATTATTATTTCTAGTAATTCTGCAAGAGCAGAAAGAAAGAAATACAAAAGTGGAAATGGTATCAGTAGTTAATAGAATATCTATCTAAGAGACACATAATTAATCTAGCAGTAGAATGCCTGATTAATACAAATGAACTAGGAACAAGTGTAATACAAATGGAAATATTTATCCCTCCCTGTTAAATATTCTTTTCACTATGATCATTTTTCAGCTTTATTATAATATTTAGAGGATTTATCAACTTTGAAACATAAATGGACATGTTACATAAGAACATTACAGTTTCTGTATTTCAGTAAAATGATAAAGCCCACTTTCAACAACAGTGCTCTAGTGAGCAATCATGAAAAAACCATGTAACTAAGCTCATCATTTATTATTGACACATACACTCTAAACATTTAACAACTTATTAAAATGACTTCCTAAGATAGTTTAAATTGCAACTTAAGTGATCAAGTATTATCCCATATGTCAATGCGTTTTATTTAGGAGGAGGGAGATTATGGAATAACAGAAAAGAATGATCCCACTTCAATTTTCTGCAAATTAGTTTTATTTTATTAAGTAACATCCTGTGATTGTTTTCAGAAATACTCTTTTGTCAACACCATGATTTTAGTAGTATATTTAATATATATAAACATGTCATGACTGGGCATTTTATATAATTATTAACTGATTCTTATCAAAACTGAATTTTTCACAAACAACTATTCATTAAACTTATAAAACTTTATAACTATCATGTTATTTGGTTTATTAAAATAACAAGCACAAATTAACAAAATTTCAAAAATTTTCGTATGTCATGAAACCCAAACCTTTTTTCCAATTCTAACTACAGGATATGGTCACATTTATGAATTCATAAATCTAAAATGGCTAACACTTGGAAATAAAATTCAGGCTGGTATAAAAATATGTACTTTAGTATTTGTAATTGAAAACAAGAGGAAAAGTTCTGTACTAAAGAAATGTAAAGTTTTGCAAATTTGATTCAGCATTTACATGGTGTAAAATAAACCTTGGAGATTACTAAACATTGCCTATGACAATGATGGATCTTCTGACCAAGTCTTCAATGATAATGTTTATGACAGCCTTAAATATTTATTGATGAAAATTATTGATATATAAAAACAATGTTAGTAATAATTAAAAAAACATCAATAGCATATTTTGGAAACTTTCATGTTATTCTGTACATACTTTGAAAATTTTATTATTATGGAATTCAAATTTAATTAAAGTAAATAAGATATGAATCAAAAAAGCATGATGCATTATTTGATAAACTAACAAACTCATCAACATCTGAAATGCTTAGATTAATTATAATATTGCCTTGAAATTGTGTTGTAACAAATGGGTTCTGTACATCTCAAATATTAAATCACCTTAATATAATGGAATTTACAAGTGGAATGAAGCAAATTAACTTGAACACCAACTTTTTCTCTGCCTACAGTCCTTTTTGTAGGGAAAAGATAATAGTTTTGAGATACATGTAAATGTAGTGAGACACTCAATTAACCACTAAAAGTACAACCTGATTCCAATCATTGAAGCCACACAGCTAAAGAGTAAGCCAAACTGGTAAAAACAGTTTAATATACTGCAGCATAACATTTAGACGTTTTAAATACAGTCTTTTAAAAGTCATGGTATATCTCCAACATCCAAATTATTAAAAAATATTAATTTAATTATTTGAAATACCTGTCTTGGTTATGCAGTGATATAATTCATAGCTGTTCGTACAAGTTAAAATGATGCTTTATTTGAAACAAGTGTTACTAGTTGAGAAATATGATAATAATAAGATTACATCAGTAGAATGAGAAACTGTATTATTACAATTCTAATGCTATAAAATTGTGATGGTATCCTTTACAACAGTACATGCAGCTAATACCAAACTAAGTGGGTATGATTCTGAACAACCTAAAATTTAGTGTTCCATCTAATATTCAAGAAGTGTTGAGAAGACAAAGGACAAAAAATACTTAGTTTTCATGTTATATGAATCTTAGTTCAATCAAACATGGACTTACTGTTTAAGACTCATGATGTACAGGTGTTTATACTTAAATAAATTATGTGTCAACATTTACAGCATTAAATATTTGATTTCACTGCTAGTTGAAACTATTTTATCAGAGCTTTTGTCAAGCAAATAAAATGAATAAGGATCCAGTAAGAGGGCCAAGTGCTCACATAAAAGAATAAAATTTGGTATAGTGAATGTTCATGCTCAGTTTATCAACAAATTCTCTGATAACAGGATGAAAACTCACAATAAATCTCAGAATTTATAGTAGTGAATGTTGATGTAACTTATATAACCCAAACTTGGAGCAATGTATTTCATGTTCTTGAAAATCAAGCAGTACACTTTAATTATGTACGCATCCTTAAGCCTACTATTCATACATTCATTAACACTGACTATCACCCAGTCATTACACAATGTATACAGAACTATACTGATTTTCTTTTTACCATACTGTAATTTGCAGGGGGAGAAGACTGTTATGAAATAGAAAAGCAGAAATTTAAGGAACAGTAAAATAAAAGGGTGGAGTGTACAATTCAAAAGCAAAATGGAATAATAAAAATAAAACTAGAAAAGCAAGATTAGTAACTGAAAGGAAGATAAGAAACAATATGGGACAGTAAAAAGAATACAATAAGGAAATATCATCATTTCTTGATTATGTATTCAAAAGAAAAACAACCAAATGTACAAGAACCTACTGAAATAACAGTATTCCAAAATACAACTACAAGACTTATGCCATCTGTTTAGGATGTGACCATAGCTAGTGAGAAAGGAGGAGATTTTTCAGGTAACTATTAAGCAATTAAACAGTTGCACATCGAAAATGTACATTGATGGTCAGCAAAACATCACAGCAACATCACTGTTCAAGATGTAATTACTGACAAAGAAATGAAAACACAAGTTTCAGTTACAACTTTCACATCTCCAGTATCTGAATGCCATACTTCTGAAAATGTTTTCTGTCAGGAACATCTTGGTACAATCAAGATGGCCTCTTTGATGCATTGGAAATCTCACACCCTGGCTGGCTTGTCAGAATGAAAGGGTGTATGTTCTGCCTGCTCCTCAGTCAAATATCTGGGAATTCATGAAAAGGCTTTAATCTTCATGTTGCTTTTATAAATGGAACAACAATTATAACAAAAAAGAAGCTACTAAAAAGATTGATAAGCCAGGTCATGCGTCAGAGTCAAATAAAATATGAATGTAAATAATTGAGCAATGGGAAAATAGTTCTGTGTTATGAAATGAATGGTGTAAACAAGGGCAAAATTCTTGCATCATACCATGCATGTGCAAAAATTTTGCAACTTATAAGTCAGAAAATTACCAAGCAACTTGTAAGTTACATTAATTAAACAGTGTGATAACACATTTTCTGTGGTAACTGATTACTCCACAACAGAAGTGTAAAACCATCACTCATAGTATATATCAGAATTCCATTTGCAAATATATGCAACTTTTTTGTGATATTGTTCCACTGAATGGATGTGCCACTGGAAGAAATATTGCCAAATGCATGTTAAAATAAATTGATGACAACAGTATAAGTATATTGATTCTACAAGAGAGAATTATTGGATTTTGCAGTGATTCCAATAGTTCTGATATAAGGAAGGAACAGCTATCTATATAAGAAAACTGTAAAAATATTATAATTTGAGATACCATTTTAGTTCTTCACCCACATCTATATGTAAAACAAAGATGCTTAAATAATAATAAAACTTTGAGGACAGCTGTTGAGTGGATTATTTTATTTTTAGAAAATTTATTACAACGTTTCGACCACTTGTGTGGTCATCATCAGGTAAATTCAACAAAACCAAAAAAGAAACAGAAAGCACTATAAACTCTAAGAATGGTGAAAATTACACTAATGGACACAATAGACAACTTACCATATCATAGTTATGTAACTAAAACCGTCATAAACATTTGGAAACAAGTATCAAAAAAATACAACATTAATAATAAAGTTGTGTTTGTTCAAAAACTGAGCACAAAAATCAAAGACCATCTAAAGAAGGCCTATTTAGATAACTTCAATGACAGAAGCATCTAAATATTAGGATTAAAGAACATAACAATCCCCATCACACATTTATGAACACAGCATAACAAATCAACATCCAATCATTAACAACAACTTTAAAATATTATGTAAAGAAAACAATATCGATAGAAGAAAAATTAAAGAAGCGTTAATTATCCATGATTTAAAACCTAAATTAAATCAAATTACAGGTGTCTCTTTATATATGTATTCTAAATTGGAACAAAATGCTCAAGTAAATTACTGATACTTAACACTATATCATAAATTTACCTGATGATGACAACACAAGTGGTCGAAACGTTGTAATAAATTTTCTAAAAATATAATAATCCATCAACAGCTGTCCTCAAAGTTTTAATTAATGCAATCACTTAATAATCCCATGCATAAGTGATTTCTATTTCAAATTAATTTAATGCAGTAACTAAAAAAATATAATGTGCTGTTTTTTACAATTTGAAAACAATCACAAATAATTAGTAGGAGGCATCACTTAAGTTCTTAACCAAAAAATATCAAACTAGCTACTTTCCTTCAGTAGTGTACAAGTTCAAAATTAGGGTTAGCTAGCTTTGTGCAAATACAGTATAACCTCGAATAATGGGCACCATGGCATTAAGGGCAGACCTTTTCAGTCTCTTTCTTTTTCTACTATTCGTAACCAAAATAAATCTTGCAATAACAGGCACCTCAATATCCCAAATTAAGGGCAGTCTTTAGTCTTGTTCTCTATACAGGCACTCAATAAAGCAGACAGTTATCTTTGTATGCTTGTATGGTATACTGATAAATTCAAATCACCCAAGAAGGATGACCAATATTTAAACTCTTGCAATTTTATTTTATTGATATATCAAAATCAATTGAGTTTCATCTTTAGCACCTGCTAAAGTTTTAAATGTTTTTACCCCCACTAAAGCATAATTCTTCAAACTTCTTTTATTCATTCACATGCAAGTCTCTACCTATCTTTATCACAGTTACCCCTATACAAATTCCCAAATTTCTTATAATTAATAATAAAGCTTCAAGAATTATCAGCCTTTAATGACTATTCTCAAAATATTAAACATTGTTGCCAACCATCCTGACAATAGAAATGGTATAGAAGTCTTCAATAAATGTGACTACATGTAGGTTAAAAAGATGCATGGTGTTTCAAACAGCCACTCAAACCTGAAGCCTTTGACTAACAAGTACTTATTCCTTATTATCCAGAACAAATACGAAAATACAGCATTACCTGAGAAATGTGTTTGGTTCATCTATGCAGCTGGTTCCTGGGCTTGAGTTGTAAGTCCACAAATCACCTAACTCTCTTTACAAGTAAACATCTCATAACCAGTGATTGAACTGTCCTCGATACTACTGTTTTACAATTTACTGATATTTGTCTCTATCAGAACATTAAAAAACATATCCTTCTTTATGGTCTACCAACCACAGCTTAAATTTTTGGCTGATCTTGGAACTAAAAATGTTAGATTTTTTTTCTCAAAAAACACAAAACACTATGATAAGGACCAAAGTATGGCTTATATTAGAAATGCATTTCTCTCTATCACTACGAGAACACACAGCTTGCTCATATTCATGTTGAGCTTCACTCACTCCTCTATAAAAGATACGAAGATGAAATTGTGTTCTCTTCCATTTCAAAAATTATGTGCATTCCTTATGTTTTGCTTTCATTTTATTTGTGAACTTTAAATCAATCATGCCCTCACATTTTTAAATATTACTGTTTCCTCCTGCTTCTCCACTTACATTTACAAAAAAAACAAAAAAACGGACATTTACTGGCTTTTTCATGTAGTTTGATGCATGCATATTATATGTTCCCAAGATCCTATCGGAGATTCCTTTAAATTCATTTATTATTCTTTCTTCATGTAAATATGTTAATCCTCCCAAACACTGAAAATGTCCTTCACAAATTCCGGATAATCAAAACCAAGCAGTGAATGACAGTTTTGATAATAGGTGTTAACAAAATGCTTGTTTTAACTGCCCCTGAGTGAAGTCTTGGTGTATCTATACAACTCTTTATTATTTTCATCAGCTATGCCTCTGTTTAAAATAAGAACATATTCATGTTTAATTATGCTAAAACCACAAAACTTTTATCACTGATTTTGTTGGCTGTGATTGATTTGACAGAACTTGCAGTAAATACTACAACCAGCATAAAACAACTGCAACAAATATACAAGTTCTAAACACATGCAGGATTTTACATTGTTCATTTGTGGATTTTAATATTTTCCTCATGCAAGTTTCAACCAACTTGCCCTACCAAGTTTAGTTTTATACAGAGGAAGGACAGGAAACATGCATGTGCTGAGTGTTTTTGCAGCAATAAAAAATTATGTAACTAGCTACATATGTAAAGCCTGTCAATGAAACAAGAAGTTAAAATTAATGGTCTAGAGTAAATTACTTGTAGATCCTGTACCCAAAAGAAAATGGCTTTTCATCAACTTCATTGCAGAACAGTCTTCCATTTATGACAGTAGACCATTTTACCAATCTTTCCAAACCACATTTACAGATTTCAAAACTGCCAATAAAGTTTAGCTGCAAACATACCAAAGCTACCCATATTCTGAATATTGCCACAGCAATAAATTGGATGATCAGGTTAAAGAAATATGCTAAATACAGGAATTTCAAAATCTAATGGATGAAAGCAACAACCAAGGTGGCAAAAGATTTTTGACCACACTTATCCTTGTCATAGACAAAATACTACTTAAAATAAGTACACAATTTTTTGCCACAATACTCTCTGATATTGGAACAGAAGAGAACATCCTTGAAGAAATACAGCAGGCTATAGTAGTAATGATTAATACAAAATACTCAGTATCTTCATGTACAAAAAAAATGGTAGCCAGAACTCTTTGACTTGGGATGCATATACCATTTAACCAGCCATTTGCTGGAACAATGCTTTCAATACTCTCCTGGTACTGTATATGTCTCAGGGGGAAAGAAGTGTGTTCGTTGACTCCGAGAGCACTGATCAACATTAAACAATTTCTTCAACATCCATAATGACTTGTAAAACCTGACAGACGTACAAATAATAGTTTTTAGATTAATAATGTACGTAAATTACATAGAATTATACAGGGACATTACTCTACATTAAAATATTTGTGAGCTTTTGGTCCTCTTACTGGAGTCTTCATTGGGCAACAATGAACTAAGCGATAAAAATATTCTATATGTTTAATAACTCTAATACCAGATGTCAGTTATTGTTATAACTCTAATACCAGATGTCAGTTATTGTTACGATTGTAGCCTAGATACATATTTTTAAGCAGTGGTTACAGTTAAACGAATTTTATTGCTTAGTACATTGTTCCCAATGAAGGCTCTGGTAAGATGGCCGAAAGCTTGCAAATAAAATATTTTAATGTAGAGAAAAGTCTACATTAAAAAGTCTGACATTTGCCAACACAGAGATGAAGTTTTACTTCATGTTCCCGGAGTTAATTTTTTATCTCCTTAAAACATTAACTGCTTCAATAGTTGGCTTCATCTTTGGCAGGTGCTAATAAGTTTTAGTGTAATATCATTGTGTTTTCAATATAAACAATAGTAATAATAGTTTTTATAGTAGATTTTGAGTTGTTCAGTGGAGTTGTCGGTAGTATAAAAACCAATTCTCCACTGCATACAAGACAAACGAACGGATTCTAAAGGATATCGTTTACAAAAATACTACACCAAAG